TGATTGGCTAATATCACATGCTGGCGGGGTTTAACCAAAAATCCGATCATCCAATCAACAGATTTTTAACCATGCTAAAAGAATTATGAAATTTAACCGGAAAGGAATAATGTACTTTTTTTAATATCAGGTATTATTTTTTGTTAAAAATATATATTCGTTACAACTACAAGAACTTTTGGAAGTTAATATTGAACAAAAGACATTTTGAGCACTCAAAACATGTTCCGGTATAATGATTTTTAACCATTAAAAATATTATATATATTAATCATAATCGAAGAAATTTGCAAACCGCAATAAATCAATTATCAACACCACCGGCGATAACAATCATCGATTATAATCTATTACCTACTTGCAACCGATTAAACCGATTATAATTGGTTTTCAAAATTTTCTGATGACTTGTTAGTTATAATTACAGAAAAAAAAAAAACAAGGTTTACAAAAAAATCTAACAGCAAAGAGTTAAACCTGGGCCATACGATTTTTTAGTATTAGAAGGCAAGGATTCTGCCACTAATATGATAATGTTTGCACATTACCATTACTCAAAATTGTTTCAAATATATAAAGAAGATGGGTATTGTGGACAAAATCAATATTATAGCTAATAAATATGATCTAGTGATCAGGATAAATAATTTAGTATTGTCGTTATTAGACTCATATATAAAGTTCTCGTGATCCCACTGAGCACAAATAAAAAAATCACCATTTTTAATAACGATAAGTTTCGAAATTTAAATTTTTTTATAAATGATAATATCTTATGATCTAGTAATCAGTAGTCCATTACTTTTATATAAAAAATTGAAAATTTTAGATTCTTTACGTTATTAATATTAACAGTTTAAGAAATTAAATTTTCTATGTGGAATGATAAATAAATAAAAGGTTCTACAGAGAAATGCGTGCATATGTACATTAATAACAAATTAGGAATTGGCCTGATTATGTTAATGCAGGCCGGATTAGATGTAATGTAAGCCAGATGAAAAGCTAATGTGGGCTGAATAATTTCATATTAAAAATCCCGCGCATCCCGCGCGTGATCCCGCGCGTTGCCCATCACTAGTAATCAGTATAATTAGATTTGCTTTAAAAGATGAATTAAATGATGTAAAAACCATCTAATTCTAATCACTAGATTTTGAGATATTGAAGTTGACCATAATACCTCCGACTTCCTTATATTTATTTGTTTGGAAGATTCGCTTCTTTTTGAATAAAGACGTAAAGTTATTTTGCTTAATATAATATTGATAAACCTAAGTTATGATGTTATATCGAAGTATACATAACGAAACCAAATTTATGAAAAGTTCAAATTATGGTTTACTATAATATATTAAAATGGAATTTGCTTTATTTAGTTGGAAACTTTACGCATCATGATAAAATTTTCTAAATGCATTTTTTGGCCATTTTTTTAGGCATTTAATTAAAATTTAGAGTTGGAATTTGAATAAAAGAGTATAAATGGTCACTAAGCTAAAAGAGTACTTTCTACATAAAGAGGTTGATTGTCTTGTAATATTTTATATTGAGTTAACCATCATTTCATAAAATACAAAAACTAAACAGACCATTATATATATATCTATATTAAATGGTTATTATCCAAATTTATTTATACAACATTGATATATGTTTGTTCTTGATTTTTAGTCTTAATTAGTATTCTCTCGTATCCTGTAGTAATTTTGGATTAATATTCTGGCGACGGGTGTAGTGTTATCGAAGGGCAATATCGTTGAAGAAGACATCAAAAGGTCATACCAGTATGATGTGCTTTCATGTATAAATGGATGTCCTTTTTGATCCCTTCCTATTTGTCTATCACAACGTTTCGAAAATCCACGTGAGAAAGTAAGGCCAATCAAAGTCTTTTTTGTTCAGCCAATAAAAACGAATTGTCATGTTACTAACGTAGATGTGATTATAAATGCTCAAGATTTTATAAAAATCTGCATCACAATCAAAAAAAAGATGTTGCTTTTCGATGCTGATAAAAAACAAAGTAAACAAAAACAAGGCCGATATTCCGAATTTCAAGCAATTGTTCTTGCAGGTTATGGTCATAGGTAAGAATATTAGTTTCAAGTGTAAATATATTTTAGAACCTAGTCCTAAATGTATATTGCTTTTTCTTGAACTATAGATTGTATCCATTATCCGAAGATAATAATCTTCCTAAAGCTTTACTTCCAATAGCTAATAAACCAATGATTTATTATGTCTTGGATTGGTTAGAAAGAGCAGGAATTTTTGGTATTATTTTCATTTATAATTTTGAAAATATACATGGTGAGTGAATTATAACTTGTTTTCATTCTAAAAAAAATAGATGTATTAGTTATTACTGAAGCAACTGGTGAATACAAAATTGGCCATTATCTTAAAAATGACTATGAAGGGAAACTGAAGCCAAACATAGAAGTAGTTAGGGAAGATGTTGGGACGGCTGATGTGTTGAGAATTTTCAGTGAAAAAATAAAAGTAACCGTTATTTTTATTCGTGGCATAGCTTTAATTGAAATATCAACTGATTACATCATAAATAAATTAGAGCGATTTCATTGTAATGAGTTGTGATCTTGTTTTTGATTTGGTGCCTCATCGATTATTGGATTATCATCGAACACATGATCCAACTTTTACAGCATTATACTTTGAACCCAATAAATCTGAGGGTGGTGGTGGAAGTAGTGGTAGTAATAAGGATGATAGTAAGTCATTAAACGTTAAGTGCTATCTCTATTTTATTGATTAGTCATAGTTATTCCTATTTATCTTACTAAGAAGAAGATCCAAAACAATTTGTTGGTGTGGATACCAATAGATCACGTATTGTTTATGTCGCATCTAGTGCTGATCTAGATGAAGAATTTTCTTTACGCATGTCATTACTATGGAAGTATGTATTTTTATCTATTTCGTTAAAGGTTTCTAACGATAATTCATAAGCTTATTTCAAAATCGTCTCTGTAGATTCCCATGTATCGACATTCATACAACCTTACAAGATGCGCATCTTTATATCTTCAAACGATGGGTGATTGATTTAATCGTACAGAGAAAAGCTATTTCTAGCGTGAGAGAACATCTTGTTCCCCTACTTATAAAATGCCAATATCAAAAAAAGCTGTTGGATAGCGAAGGTATTAACAAGTGTGAGTACAATAGATGCATTCTTCTAAATAATCTTTGTGTATATTTTCTTAAATTTGGCAAATTCGATAGTGGCAGCAACATACGAGAATTTTCAAAAAACTGCCCTTAAATATTCTGCCTCAGAAGATGATTATGACAAAAGCTCGCCAGTACGATGTCAAATTTATACATATAACACTGGTTTTTGTGGACGTGGAAATACAATTTACAAATATTGTGATCTAAATCGTCATGTATAGTTTAATTTACTTTTTTTGATGTGCTTTAAATATCTGGAGTTTAATTTTATTATTGTAGATGACGAAGATACATACGGATCCGCGTGTATCTCCATCTGCAGAAATAAATTCAAAGGCGCAGGTAAGTATAGGATTCATAACGTCATATATATTACGGTTGTCATTTTTTTTTCCTCTGTTTGCTTTAATAGGTTGGATCGGATTCGTTAGTTGGTGATGACACGAAAATTGATGAACGCACGTCCATCAAACGCTCAACAATTGGCACACATTGCATAATTGGCAAAAATGTCAAAATCTCGAACTCAATACTAATGGACAATGTCGTCATTGAGGATAAGTACGTATTATATTATTTAATAGGTCGGACTAACGTTATCGCTATACAATATTTAGTTGGTACGATTTACTTATTCCGCAATAATAACTATCACAACTTCTAGTGTCAAATTGGATGGGTGTGTAGTTTGTAATGGCGCTAAGATAATGGAAAAATCTCAATTAAAAGATTGTGAAGTTGGTGGGGGATACGTTATTGTTTCTGAAAGTATGTGTTTCTTCATTTTATTTTATTTTATTGACCTTTATTGGATTGATTTAAACATTGATAAATTTATCAATTCCATAGCACAAGCAAAAAATGAACAGCTTGTTGAGTTTCGTGATCTGGACTAATTTATGTTCTATATACTCATATTGTAATTGGTTTTGTTACTAGACAATTTACATTTGTGAATGCATTCATGACATTGAAACACAAAAAAAAATTTTTTAAGGGTAGGGACAGAAATCATAAATTATAAATAAAACTCAAAACGTTACAAAATTTTATTAATTCTTTTTTTGAACTATTAAGTAAAATTATAGTGTAGGGTTTTCTGATTCTAACAATAGTAAATTATTAAAATTGATTGAAAATTCATTGAGATATGAATATTTAAATGTTAGATATCAAAAGTTGTTTACAAAAATCATATAGGATTGAGTTAATAGATATCAAGCAAATTTTTTCTAAGTAAATTTTTTTTAAATTTTGAATATAAAAATTTTTTTATTAAATTTGGTAAAAAACAATTTGTTTGATTTTTATTAATTCATTTTCAGATAGTAATTATATAATATTAACCAATCAAATCAATAGGTTTATGTAATTGAAGCAAGTCAACTGAAAAGCAAAACATTCATTTTTGATACGTTTGCATTTACTTTTTTGATACATTTAAACATACTTTAAAATTTTTATACTTTTACTAATTTTTACTATAATAATGTGCAACCTTATTGATTAGATTTAGGGTATGTTTAGATTAGTGTTATTAATTTTTTGTTTAATTAATAACAACTATATTCTATTTTAATTTTTATTGCTTTATTTTATTGTTTTTTGTTTTATTGCTATATTAATATTTAATTATAATTTTGTTGGCAATTGTTTGTTCTATTGACAAAATTTTTATTTTATTTTAAATTTTATTGCTCTATTTTATTAATTTATTGTTCTATTTATTTATTGCTGCCAACATTGATTTTAATGTATTAAAAAAGTAAACAAAGTATCAAAAATGTATTGTAATTAAAAAAAACTTTACTACATATAAAAATACGATTTTTTTTAAATATTTTATTTATTAAAATTTTACAATAATAAAAAAGAATTTTTTTTTAGATTTAAAAAATGACATTTATGGCTTGTAATCTTTATTAATACTTACAACCTACAAATATATAGGAAGTATTTTTATTTTTTTTTTTTTTTTAACTTTAGCAGTCATGCTAGTACTTTATTAGAATTCTTGAAACTATACAAATTATATAGAATTTTTCTGAT